AAATATTTCTTTTACATACATATTTTAATATAAATATTTCTTTTATAAATATTTATTTACATATAAAAAATACATAATAAAATTAATTTATTATAAATATAATTATCTTTTTAAAAATAATATAGATCGGGGATGGGGATGGGAAATCCGAAACCCAACGGGAATGGGATGGGAACTTAATTTCTAACCCCGATGGGGATCGGGGACGGTTAAAAAAGTCGGAGGCAGGAATCAGGGAGGCAAAACCCGCCCTTGCCCCATTGCCACGTGTAGGTTTACTGAATAAAACGAATGGAAAAGAATAAAATAAATGGGAAAAGTTGAGAAAATGAATATGAAATTAAATCAATCGTTATTCAGTGTGCATTTAGAATGCTAGTTCAAAATACATTTATAATACTACACTAACGTAAAATGCAGTAAAAAAAAATTAATTTGAGATATTCTCTCCTAAAATCTAGGCACATTTACTTTGACTAGAAACCCTTATTCAACAACTTAAACAGAAAAATAAAACAAATAAAGATATCACGTGCAGTCTAAAAAACAAATATCTAACACTCCTCCTTGGTTTTGGAACTGCAAACTCCAATCTTCTGCCTTAGAAATTCAAACTTGTTGAGTGGAAGTGGTTTAGTAAACAAATCAGCAACCTGGTTTTCAGTTTTGCAATAAATTAGAACAACAACTTCATCTTTTTTGTACCTCCCTTAAGAAGAACAACTTAATGTTAAAATGTTTGGTCTTCCCATGAAAAATAGGATTGTGAGAAATGACTATTGCAGCTTGGTTATCAACAAAGGCTTCTGTACTTTCCTTCTGCTCCATGTTAAGATCAATTAGAATTTTCTTCAACCACAAGACTTAGTTAACAGCAGCTGCGGCAGCAATAAATTCAGCTTCTGTTGTAGATTGTGCAACAATTTCTTGTTTCTTTGAACTCTAAGAGAAAACACCATATCCAAAACTAAAGCAGTACCCTGAGGTACTCCTCATATCATCAATTGAGCCACCCCAATCACTATCTGAGAAACCTTTCAATTTAAATTATTCAGTTCTCTTGAACTTGATGCCAAAATTGTAAGTTCCTTTGATATATCTAATCACCCTTTTTGCAGCCTTGAGATGCATTTCACTTGGGCAATGCATAAACCTAGATAAAATACTTACAACATTTAAGATGTCAGGCGTAGTTGCTCTAAGGTACATCAAACATCTAATTATACTTCTGAAAAATGTTTGGTCTATCTTCTCAGTTCCATCTTCCTTGTATAGTTTTTCCTTTTGATTCATTGGAGTGCTCATTTCTTTGCATTCTTCAAGTTTGAACTTCTTCAGAATTTCCTTGGCATATTTTTCTTGAGAAATGAAGATTTCATGTTCTCTTTGTTTGATCTCAATGCCAAGGAAAAATGTCATTAACCCAAGGTCTGTCATCTCAAAGACCTCCATCATTTCTTTCTTAAACTTTTCCATCAACCTTGTTTTGTTTCCTGTTACAAAAAGATCATCCACATAAAGTGAGATAATAATAATATTAGCTTTGTCATCCTTAATATACAATGTTGATTCAGCCAAACTTTTGATAAATTCCAAGTTCAGCAAATGATCATCAATTCTGTTGTACCAAGATCATGGGGCTTGTTTTAGCCCATATAGAACTTTTTTAAGCAAATAAACCTTATCTTCTTCTTCTTCTTCCTTTACAAAGTCTTGGGGTTGTTCAACATAAATTTCTTCTTGTAAGAAACCGTTTAAAAAAGCTGATTTACCATCAATTTGATAAATCTTCCAATTCTTTTCGGTAGCTACAACAAGTAACAATCTAATGGTGTCTAATCGAGCAACTGGTGCAAACGTATCTGAGTAGTTTACACCAAAATTTGTGCATAACCTTTTACCACAAGTCTTGCCTTGTGTTTATTGATAGAACCATCTGCATTTAGCTTAGTTCTGTACACCCACTTGACCCCAATCACTTTTCTGCTTTGAGGTTTTTCCACAAGAATCTAGGTTTGGTTTTTTCGATCATTGACAACTCCTCTTGCATTGCAGCCATCCAATTTGGATGTCTCTTTGCTTCTTCATAATCTGCAGGTTCACATACAGAAACATTTCATCATTCATAAATTTCAGAGAGCAATCTAGTATCTCTTACTGGGACATCATCCACCAATTCATTTTGTCAACTTTCATCTTCATTTTGTTTTGTGTTTGAGGCAGATGGCTTGACCTCCATATCCATCTTCCTTTTACTGTCCCAATTCCATTCTTCATCCTCCATAAATTGAACATCCTTGCTAATAACTATTTTTCCAGTTTGGGGCTGAAAGACTTTATAGGCTTTACTGGTTGTACTATAGCCTATAAAGATACCTAATAATGCTCTTTTATCTAGCTTATCTCGTTTGCTTTGTGGGACATGAGTAAAGCACAAACAACCAAATATTTTAAGAAATTTCAGAGATGGTTTGTAATCATACCAGACCTCAAATGGTGTTTGGTCCTTCAAAGCTTTGGTGGGAAGCCTCTTCTGAAGAAAAACAGTCGTACTTGCTACTTCTGCCCAAAATTCCTTCCATAAATTTTTTTCAAACAACATGCATCTTGTCATCTCCAAGATATATCGATTTTGTCTTTCACTAACCCCATTTTGTTGTGGGGTATAAGGAGCAGTTAGTTGATGTCGGTAAATTTTTTTTAAACAACATGCATCTTGTCATCTCCAAGATATATCGATTTCGTCTTTCACTAACCCCATTTTGTTGTGGGGTATAAGGAGCAGTCAGTTGATGTCGGTAAATTTTTTTCAAATAACATGCATCTTGTCATCTCCAAGATATATCGATTTCGTCTTTCTCTAACCCCATTTTGTTGTGGGGTATAAGGAGCAGTCAGTTGATGTTCAATGTCAAAATTCTCACAAAAAAGATTGAATTTTCCAGACGTGTACTCAGTGCCATTGTCTGATCTCAAGGTCTGAATTCTTAAACCAGTTTCATTCTCAACTCTGGCTTGGAATTTCCAAAATATCTCAGCAACCTCTGATTTGTTCTTAAAGAAAAATATCCAACACATTCTTGTAAAGTCATCAATAAAGAGAATATAATAAAGATTACCTTTCAATGAAGGAGTTCTTTGAGGACCTGCAACATCTGTGTGAATTAGTTGCAGCTTCCTTGATGCTCTCCAGGTAATTTTTGAGAAAGGTTTTCTGTTTTGTTTGCCAAATTGACAAGTCTTGCAATTTGAAATTCGATCCTCAAGGTCAGGAACATCAAGTATCAACTCTTGTTTACACAACTGCAACAATCCCTGGTGATGGTAATGCCCAAGCCTTTTGTGTCAGGTTTTTGTGACATCTTCCTTAAGTGAGAAAAGCTTTGTCCTTTCATTTTTACCTTGAACATATCTTGTCCAGCTGCAGCTTTAATCAAGCAATGTTTGTTTTCAAAAACAACCTTAAATCCTTTTTCAATGAGTTGACCAACACTTTATAAGTTTTGGTCAAGTTGAGGAACAAAAAGAACATCAGGAATAAATTTTGTCCCTGCACAACTTGTTATTGTAATTGTACCCTTTCCTCTAAAGGTTATATAATCACCATTACCTATTTTTACTTTAGTGACATTAGTTGGCCCCAAATCTTTGAAGAGTGACTTGTCAAAGGTCATATGGTTGGTACAACCACTATCAATTAGCCAACTTTCATTGGACTCATTGCCCAAGAAACATGTAGCCACAAACAGTTGGTCTTCCTCCTCCTCCTCTAGATCAACAATTTGAGCTCCTTCATCGTGGTGATTTTTGCTTTTGCAAATTATAGCTTCATGCCCCATCTGGTTGCACTTGCTGCATTTTGCCTCTGGTATTCTCCAATATTTGAAGGGCGGATGACCTTTTTTACCACAATGTTAACAAGGTGGATAGGTTTTCTTTCCTCCCTTGCTTCTAAATTGATTGTTTATTGAACTTACATTGCTTGATGCTTGATTCTTATCAATTTCATGATGTTTGACTGGAAAAGCACCTTTGACAACATGATCTTGTCTCATCATTCTTCGTTGTTCCTAAGTCTGTAAGGCATGTAACACCTCTGTCAAAGTGATCTTAGAAAGGTCCTTTGAATTCTCCAATGAAGTTATAGATGCTTCATATCTTTCTGGTACAGTTACCAAGATTTTTTCAACAATTCTAGAATCTGCAAAATCAGTTCCCAATAACTTTACCTTGTTGGAAATATTTAGCAATTTGTCTAAATACTCTGTGACTATATCAGACTCGTTCATCTTTTGAAACTCAAACTCCCTCATTAAATTAAGCACTTGCATGTTTCGAATTCTTTCATCTCCAGCATATTGTGTCTTGAGATAATCCCAAATTGTCTTTGCTGATTTGAGAGTCATGACCCTAGTAAAAATAGTGGTAGAAAGCCCAGCAAAAAGGCATGACCTTGCCTTTGCTTTTCGGGTTTTTTTTTTCTTTGTATAGCTTGATCTGGGTCATGTTAGGATTGTCTGGCAGCGGAAAGACTTTATAATCGTTTTCTACATCTTCCCATAGATCTAAAGCCTCCAAGTAAGCCTCAATTTTGACAGCCCAAAGATCATAATTTTCACCATAAAAAACTGGAGGTGCAATGTGTGAGAAATTTGGTTCGACATCCATATCCACATGCCCGTAAGAAAAAAGCTCACGATACCAATTGTAGGTTTACTGAATAAAACTAATGGAAAAGAATAAAATAAATGGGAAAAGTTGAGAGAATGAATATGAAATTAAATCAATCGTTATTCAACAGCGTGCATTTAGAATGCTAGTTCAAAATACATTTATAATACTACAATAACGTAGAATGCAGTAAAAAAATAATTTGAGATATTCCCTTCTAAAATCTAAGTACATTTACTTTGACTAAAAACTCTTATTCAACCACTGAAACAGAAAAATAAAACAAATAAAGATATCACGTATACTCGTAAAAACAAATATCTAACGCCATGCCTACATTCAAAGTTATTTTTATATTATATTTTAAATTTTGTCATTTCACTTGGATTCAATATCATTTTAGTTATTCATTTTAATAATTAACAATGAGTTAACATTGTTAGAATTAACTACGATGGGTCTAATTTAATATTGCAAAATCAATTTTAATGAAATTTTAAATGATTATAAATTATTTTAGATATAATTTTTAAAATATTATTATAAATTTATAGTATTATTGAATATAATATAATAATATATGATATATGAGTGTGTTTTAATTAAATTCCTAAAATAATAGATTTGACTTTTTTTAATACACGCAAAGTATTGTATTATTTCTATCGCGAGCTTAAATGCAGCATACATTTATTAGACTATGTTACGTGAGACATTCTCAATCATAGTTAACGTAAACGTGTTAAACTTTCTTTTGTCAAAGAAAATATTTTAAATATTTACGAAGAATATTTTATTTTCTATGAAAACTAGTACCAATATTTTTAATTGATTATTTTGATCTTGATTTTTTTAATTAAATTAAAAATCATTTACAAAAAGTAAGTATTTATAAATTATATGATCCCGGATATCAAAATAGTCGCAGATGGTTTATAAATCAAAATTAAAAATAATTTATAATCTTTTATCTTATTCTATTGAAAGTTATTCTAATAACAAAACTAGGAGTGTGAAAAACAATAATACAAACTAAAGTAGATTATAAGTTTCTATAGTTTTTAAAATCTTCACTTTTTATCATTTTTACAGTGTTAAACTATTATGATGAACTAATTCCGAGAATTTAAGTATTAAGATTTTACAAGATTAAATAACTAATTGAAGGTTTTTAAATTTAGAGACTTAATTAAAAATCATCAAACGATTTAAGGTATAATAATTAATAACAAGTAATAAGAAGATAAATTATAACATACGTGTTTAAAGCATCTAAACTTTTTTTAACTTTTGAGAAATCTTAGATTTAATATCTATATCTATAATGTTATTTTTGTTTTTGTTAATCTATTATAGTACATGTATTATTAGGACGAAGAATAGTAGAAAAAATAATTTTACATTAGTGTATTTAAGTTTTAAAAAAATTAAAAAGAGATATTTTATTAAAATTTATATAAAAATATTAAAAAAACATATTTACGTTTTCAATTTTAATTCTAATAAATTTACCTTTATGTCCTTTTATATCTTCCGTGTGATTTTGTGAAAGTTGTCGTTTTGCTCTGTTCTCGATGTTTCGGGCCCCGGCCCAGGAATTAAGAAAGGACATCAGGACCCAAGGCCCAGGGCCCACTATCATTCATACACGAAAACGACGCACCGTGTCCGAAGTAGGGGTCCACGCGCAGTTTAGCAAACTCAGTTAGAAGTTGACTACCATACGCTGAGGTGGTTAATCACGCTCGAGTCTCAGCGGTCGTTCAATATAAGCGTGAGGACAAAGTAGAAGGAGGGAGAGAGCGAAGCGAGTTTGAGCGAGTTGACTCAGCGATGGGGGACGAGGTGACTCGGGTGATGGTGGCGGTGAACGAGTCGAGTTTGAAGGGTTACCCTCACCCTTCGATCAGCAGCAGAGGGGCTTTCGAATGGACCATCAACAAGATCATTCGGAACAACGTTTCTGCTTTCAACCTCTTTTTTCTTCACGTTCAAGTTCCCGACGAAGATGGTTCTCTCTCTCACTCTCTCTATTTTTAATTGTTCTTTTTGTGAAGATTGTTATGATTACTGGTGGTTCGATTTAATTGATGCCTAGAATTTCTGTTAGAGTGGGTCTAAGATTGTTGAAATTTAACTTTAATAAATTTGATTTTGCGTGACATTGATTTTGAAGTGTGTGATTTGTGTTTGATTGTTTTAGTAAGTAATAAAACTCAATATAAAGTCTTTGTTTGAGTGTGAAAATTAAGTTGTTTTTAACTCCGAAACCAAATCTTCACCGTACAACCCAATCATGTCAGCATTAGTTAAAATCGCTTTAGTTGGAGTTTTAGTGTATGTTTCGATTAAAGTTTGTAATCCCAAGTTTCGGTGAAAATTGAGTTTGCAGAAGTAACTCAAGTCTTGCTTCTACAAAACTGAGTTTCCAGTAAAAAAAAAATAATGTGTAATCGAATTTTTAAGGGTAGTCAAACATGTCAAGAAATTTACCCATTGGCATCGACAGTGATGACATGGCTATTTAAAAGAAAATGTTAATTATTCTCCTGAGTTGGAACACCCCCAACAGAAAACCAAACATGGCCTTAATGTGATTCTGGGTCATAATGTGAATTCAAATATGCAAAGTGTATAACATTGGTGAAATTAGTTAATTCACTAGATGTATAGTTTGTGTAGATAGATGTTAATTCACATAACCAAGTAGTTAGAAGGTTGTTTTAAGTTTTGAGTATGTGAAGATTGCATGTAGGCATGTTAATTATTCAAAAAATAAAGGGATTCTAACGGACTTGAGCGTGATTATTTCTTGTGCAGGATATATGAAAAAAATTAGATGTTAATTTTGATTTTTCGTTCTAATTCTTTTATGTGTGATGCGCGAAAGAAAATGATTGTGCCGTTATTGTACTGAGTATGGATTGAGTTTGAGAACGTTATGATTATACTTGGTGGTGGTGGTGGTGCTTTGTGATTTTATTGATCCTTTTTTCAAAGAATTTGCAGCCAATGAAGTGAGGAATTATGTTGTCTTGTACTTGGAGAAGTGAAAGGAACTTGTAATCTGATGGTGGTGCTTTTTTTTTTTTCTTTTTGCTAGGTTTTGATGACATGGACAGTATTTACGCATCACCTGAAGATTTTAAGAACATGAAGCAGAGAGATAGAATCAGAGGGGTTCATCTACTGGAATACTTTGTCAATAGGTGTCATGAAATTGGGGTAATGGTTTTTCTACTGAACTGCAGCATGCTTCTGGTCTTCGTCTTCGTCTTCATCCGTAGAATAAATTTTAAGTGAATTTGGTTTTAAATTGGGTCTGTTTGTTTGTGTTCTTTGCTTTTTTTTTAAAAAAAGTGATAACTCAAAAGTGATTTATTTTTAAGTGATTCTTCTATTAATTTGTGTTTTTTTTTTTTAAATCTCTTTTTTATCCCATCTGCTTTTACATTTTTAAATAAATTTAACAAAACATGTTAAAAATATTAATTGGCGATAAAAAACACTTTTCCCTAAAAAACTGCTTAGACAAACAGACCCGTTATTACTGTAAAGTATGATTAGGCAGGCATCCAATAGTGAACATGATGACCAAAAAAATTATCGAAACTGATTAGACTTCTATGTAAAATTATTTGATTCAGTGACTTAAAGAATAAACTGTCAATTTTGTCTTGAAACTATTACTCTTTTTCCTCAGTAATTACTATAGTATTAAAATTATCATAAAGCATTGAATGTTCATCTCTTTTGTCCCGTAATTAATGTATTTTAGGGTTCAACAACCAATTTGGGGATTTTTTGTCAATATTTAGAAGGCTACTTAGCATTATTTCTAGTACTTCTAGGATTAATTCAGTAGTTAACTTTACTTCTGGAATGAAATTGATGATTTCTCCTTCTATTTATATTTATAATACTTTTCTCCGCAATCTAAATGTTGATGTATTTGTAGGTGGTCTGCCAAGGATGGATAATGCAGGGTGATCCCAAAGAAGTGATATGTCATGAAGTGAAACGGCTAAGGCCAGATCTTCTGGTTGTGGGTAGCCGAGGTCTTGGCCCTTTTCAAAAGTATGCCCCCAATTGCTTTATTTTTGTTAAAAATATTGATATTTAATGTGCATTAAAGCTCCTGGAATTTAATTTAATTAGAGATGCGTTATTGAGGAATTATGTTTCACATTTTCTGCAGGGTTTTTGTTGGCACTGTGAGTGAATTTTGTTGGAAGCATGCTGAATGCCCTGTGATTAGTATCAAACGCAAAGCTGATGAGATTCCTCAGGACCCTGTTGATGACTGATACTTTGTGATACAGTACACATTGAAGATAGATTACATGTGTGTATTTGGTTAAAAAAAAAAAGAATTGAATATCATTCAAGATTAGTGGTGGGAATTTTCAGTGTGGGAACTACAGCAGAAAATCAAGTTTTGGAGCTTTTATGTTCTTGTTGCTTTTATCGTCTACATATGATTGTAAGAAGTGTTTGTAATTTGATGCTGTGATATTGCTCTTTAATGTGATGCAAACATTATTTTACCAAAGCCATAATCTATTATTCTTCAATGGATGGTGTAAAAGTAATATCGCTCCTAACGTGTCTCGACTTCTTAATACCATTTGTTAGTTGGGTCAAATAACAGATGAAAATTTTGCATTAGTGAATATCAACAGATCATTCCAAGCTTCTGTGAATTGCCAATAGATTCATACATAGATATTATTTAAAACGAAAATAATCAGAAGGGAATGGAATAACCTTTTTATAAGAAAAAAAGAAAAAGCTGTTTGAATATTACTAGCATGAGGATGAAAAGTCTAAAGATGTGGGCGTACATAAGATTATGCATGCTACGGGTACAAATCCTGGACAAAATACCAAATATCATTACCCGCATCAAACTATACCAACTAACTTTATGTCAAATAAAGGTAGGCAAAGGTCAACCAAAAAGGCCTCAGACGACGACAAAACAAAAAAGAAAGGCATATTGTCACAAAACCTACCCTAATCATTGCTAAATTATGACTAAAACAGAGAAGCTTCAACCATTTGGTTGACATCCTCCAGAAGAGCCTTCACCTCACTCTGTAGTTTAGCCATCAAATCGGGAGATTTGTCACCTGATGTTTCAAGTATCAAAGTCAGACCTTGAAGCTTCTTCTGGATGAATATCAATCTGGACGCTTCACCACCCTGTGAGAGTGAAACCGGTGGTGGTGTAGCTGCTAGCAAAGGTTTGTTCTTAGATCTTTCACCATGTTGTCCAAACTTCGATCCATCAGAGTAATACTGGAGCTGAAAAGTGACATCAGAAGATCCAAAAGGGTTATTGTTTTGAGAATGGTTGAATGCATTTTCAGCATCAGAAGTTCTTAGGAAGTACACTCTAGCTGTGTAGCTATTGTCGAACATATCAGTTTCTGCTTCATTCAGAGCTCCAAACTTACTATACACTGAGATAAGGTCAGATCTTGAGGGCACAGACGATCCTGGCCAAAATGAAACAACAAGAGCAGCACCTGGAGCATTTTCATCAGTCTCCTTACCTGAAGCAGTGTCCTTTCTTTTCTTCTTTGGCCCAGAATTTTGTTTCAGTGACGATATATGACCATATTTCAACATTCCATCTTCTTCAGATTCTGGCCTCTTTCTTTTCCTCCCAGGCTGATTCTTCTCGTATAAATCGCATAACGATCCTTCAGAATATAATGAACTTCTGAAGGCATAGGTGAAGTCAACAAATTGGTCAAGAGAAGTACCCTCCCTACGAATTTGTGGACTAATAGCTGCATTATGGACTTGAGACAGAACTTCCTCCACAGGAGCCTGGATTTTTTTCGGATCAATAACCATTTCCCCATCATCTTCTTGGGTTTGGTAATTTGAGCTATCAAACAGCCTCCCCATATAAACTGGAGGATATTGCAGGACAGCAGCCACTTCCCTTGCCTGTGATGCTTTAACTTTTCTGGATACTTTAAACGATTCTGCCTCAATAATTTCCTCCATTTGCCCCCTGATTGGAGTAGTGAAAGGAGGGGACAAGTACTTGCTTTTCTTCCTTTCTCTTGACAAACTACCCTTCCTGTTTTCTTCGCTCTTCCCTTCATCAAAATCTTCTTTCTTCTCTTTTGACTGCATCCATGAGCCAATGCTAATACTGTTTTCCTCGGCACAGAGTTCAGCACTTGACACATCTTCATCAGAGTCTAGAAGAACCTCTTTTTTCTTTTGAACAGGTTTAGATGTCAACCCATCCTCACTACCTTTCCTCTTCTTTCCACCATTTGAGCCAATTGCGTTCACCATTTCAACAGCTGCTTCCACCTCTCTATTTGCTGTATGAACATCTTTGTCCTCCCTCATTATTTCAGCAATGCTTTTCTGCTTTCTAACATGGTTCGATAAGTTCCCTGAAAGCCCTGGAGAATGACCCAGTTCATCAAATGGCCCTTGGGTTGGCGCTTCCACGGTACTTTTACTGTTATCTACAGCAACTGTTTCATCCATTAGACTATCTTCAACTCCAGGAACCAGCTGAGTATCCATAAAATCAGGCAATTTATGCCCTTTTGATAGATAATATGCAGAAAGCCGAGCCTTTAATATCTCCAGCTCCATAATGCTACTACCACTATCAATAATTCGCGCAATTTGATTCACATGAGAAAGTAATTCTGCTGGCTCAAAGTGACTATATAAAAGTCTCTCTACACCAGTTTCTGGCACAAGAACTCCTTCTTTGATTCCAGAATTTCTCGCCAATGGGAGTGTAGATTCAGAACCAGTTTTCTTGTCATCAACTAAACGACTCAACTTCATAGACAGAAGCCTTCCAACCTCACTTGCAGCTTCTTGCACAGCATTGACAAAATCAATGCAGCTACTCTGTTTAACCATATCATCAAAGTTATCTGCAAAAGTCTTTAACTGTGACAGATGACACCACGCAAAGGTTCCACGCCCAAAGTAGGCAACCAAAAGTCTATTCTTTTGTTTCAGCTTCAATGCAACTTCAGATGCATCAGATGGGTCATAAATCCGACCAGGCCACCAAGGATAACTCTCAATTTGACCCCAAACAAAATCGCCAACAGCGAAACCATACCCCTCATCACTCAAGTCCTTCACATCTACATCCATGTGGTCACTTGTCTCGGCAATTGGAACCTCTATTGCCACAATGTTCCCAGAACAATCTTCCTCTTTTTCTACCCTTTCACTTCCTCCCCCATCTTTTCTTTTCTCCACATCAACTGCTACGGAGCCATCCACACTTAAAACAGCCGTATTTCCTTTGTCTTCACATTCCTCCTCCATTATTTTGTCATCCGCAGCAAGGCCTACTGAACCATCCACGCTAAAATCGGCAGCTTCTGCAACTATACTCTTTGAAGCAAGAGTCACAATGTTCCCATCACAGTCTTCACCCGGTGTGTCTTCCCCACCAACATTTATCAAACTATCCACACTCAAAGCAGCTGCTTCTGCAACTTTACTCTCAGAAGCAACAGCCACAATGTCCCCATCACAGTCTTCATCTTTACCTTCCTCTTCACGTATATCCCCTTCTTTTCTGTCTTGCCCTCCAACCCCGACCAAACTATCCGCACTCGAAACAGCAGCTTTTGCTACTCTACTCTCAGAAGTAATAGTCACAACATTCTCATCACAGTCTTCATCTCCACCTTCTGCTTCTTTTCGGTCATCCTTGCCAACTCCTACCAACCTATCCACACTCAAAACAGCAGCTTCTTCTGCCCTACGCTCAGCAGGAATAGTCACATCATTCCCATCACAGTCTTCATCTTGACCTCCATCTTCACTTATATCCTCTTCTCTTCTGCCTTGCCCATCAACCCCTACCAAACTATCCACACTCAATACAGCAGCTTCTGGTACTCTACTCACACATGCAACAGCCAAAGTGTTCCCATCACGGTCCTCATGAACTCCTAACAAACTATCCACACTCAAGACAACAGTTTTCGCTCCTCTACTCTCGGAATCAATACCCCGAATGTTCCCATCACAGTCTTCACTTTCCTTCCTATCTATTTTGTGTTCAGCACCAACCCCTACCATACTATCCACACTCAAACTAGCAACTTCTGCCACTCTACTCTCCGAAGCAACGGTGACATTTTCGGCATCACAATCTTCATATTTTCCTTCCTCCCCACTACTGCCGCCATCACTTCCATGTCCTCCAACAACCCCTCCCGAACCATCTAAACTTAAATCAGCAGCCTCTTCCATCTCAGAAGCAAACATATAGTCCATCTTCTCAGATGCACAATCATAGTCCAACTTCTCAGCGCCATCACTAGAAAACACCGTGTTCATATCACTTCCTTGCATTCCTAACCAAGAGGACATCCCATTCACCTCAGAATCAGTCAAAACTTGACAATCATTTTCACTCCCAACGGAAATATTGGTCTCCAAGACTTTCCTGTTCTTGACAACGTTAGCAACCCCTTCATCAGCCAACCCTTGGTTTTCAGAAAACCCATCTCCATTCACAGCAACCCCACCACACCCTTCCTCACTTCTGAAACCCCCAACAACTTCCCTGTGCTCCTGCTCTGAACCTCGAACCACGTTCTCACTTTCTGGCATAAGAGATGAACCCTGAGCCCTGCTGTCGCTTTCATCCTTGCCCATTGAAAAAGATCAAATTTTTCTCGACAAAATCAACTACTCAGATAAAAAGAACAGCAAAAAACATGTTAAAAAACGCAAACACAATCATCACATATCCACATTTCTGCACACTCACATCTCTAGGGCTTTAAGTTCCATGAAATGAAAGAATGAAGATAACTCAAATGGGGATTTAGAGCTTAGAAGCAAGAACAATACCCACTAGTGGAACAAAAAAAATCACTATTACCTAATAACAAAAGGAAAAGACAAACAAAATACAGTAAAACCTTTTAGTAAAGTAATTTTTTATAGGATCAAAAGAAGGGGATAATAAATATAAAGAGAAGAGAATACCTGAAGAATGAAAAGAGTAGTTATTGTAGCAAGCTTTTTACTTGTGCCTTCGACCAGAAAGAATTCTTAAAACCCCATATTGACCTGAAGAGAAGAATGAGATTCTGGGGTATTGTAAATTTAAAAAATATATATAAAAATTGAATTTTTAGCATTTAACAAATAAAAATAATTAAGTAATTTAAAAAGTACTAGTACTGCAATGAAAGCTACATTATTAAGTAGAGTGAGAGAGTGAGAGATGGAGTAGAGAGGGAAATTTTCTAGTTATGGAATGTGTTTGAAAATATCGAGGATTCTGGAGATGGTGACAGGTTAAGTTCATTGGCATTTTTTCTTTCTCTCTTGGTACTGTTGATTTTCATTATTGCAGCACAAGACTCAACGAAATATTAGAGGATGGTGAAATGAGTGAGGATGAGATTGTCTTTGTCACAGAAGGAGAATCATATTCTAACATTTCATGATGTTTTGTGTTGTGTTGTGTTGCGTTGAGAGAGAGACTCGCGAGAGTACACACCCAAACACTACGCGCTTTACTTTCACGCCATCTTTCTCCTCACACAAAGGGAATGTGTAACCACAAGTCTACTTTAATAATAATATACAATAAATTATTAATTATATTTTTTTATGCGATTTTTTTTTCAAAAAATATATTATATAATTTTTATATTATATTAATTACTTTTTATTTTAGAAAATAGATAAAATAATGTTTTGTAAGACGAAATTAACTTGGATGAAATTTGATTCCCTATTTAGTAATATTTTTACTACACCTTATTTGTGGAAGTTTTTTACTTTGAGATGTAACAAAGATTCTATATTTTTAATGAAAAGATATTTAATAATTTTTTGGGAATTTATTAGTTTTTATAATAATTATTATAAAAATTATATTAGTAATAGCTTAAAATTAAATAATAATGTAAAAATTTTATATAAAAAAATTATTTATTTTGTATTTCATTAAATTCTAATTATTACTTTATAACTATATTATTTATATCAGTAAATTGATAATTTTTTATTGCTATGAATAAGGGAGAAATATGGTCAATAATAGTATATCTCTCATCAATCAATCCATATGTTTAATAATTTTAAAACTTAAAATTACAATTTTTTATTATAAAAATTATTATTAATATTAATAATTATACATATATTGTATTTATAATATGTATTCAATATAAAATATATAATTTTATTACATTAACGAGTCGCCATGTGAAGGAAGATTCACAAACTCTTTAAAAGTCTGAAGTTTAGTTTTTTTATTTTTGTTAAAAAGTCTAAATTTGACTTTTTTTTTAAATAAACAAGTTAAGCTAAATAATAAGTCCTAGGTCAACACAATAGGAGCAAAACAGAAAATTTTAATAAAAAAAATTAAAAAATTATTAGGGATAAAAACTTATTAAATATTAAAAAATTAATTTTTATTATAACTCTCCTAATTTATCTTGTGTTTTGACTAGTTTTTTTTTATTACATGTATACATTAAAAGAAAGAAGCAAAATGGTCAATGCATGACTTTTTTCTATATTAACTCACCATTCATATTCCCTGTAATATGTTAATGTAAATTAATAGACTAGTGGAGTTAGTGATATTCATGACCTGAAAATAGAAAAATTAAATGACATTAAACGAAGCAACGAAATTCAACCCTAGAATGCTCCAACTTTTAAGAATTCAAAGCAAAATGGTCATTAGTAAGCAATAAAATTGCAAAACATAAGCCAACACAAAGCAACCAAAAACTAAACTTAATTGAAAACTAAAAAAAAGGTAAAAGTTTGAATAAATGTGAAATAAAAAAATTTAATTTTTAAAGGGGCATTCCGAGAATCGAACTCGGGACCTCTCGCACCCAAAGCGAGAATCATACCACTAGACCAAATGCCCTCTTTGATAATGTTATAATTATTTTACAATAAAACAACAAAAGATTCTAATACTCAAATTTTGAAAGTGTATAAGTGACAAGTAAGACTTTAGGGTTTTTTTTATTTATGGAGACGAATGATTTTATTTTTAAAATTGAGAGATTAAAATTAATTTACTTGAAATTGCAAGGATGATAAACATAATTATGTTATTCTAAAACCATATTTTAAAAATTAATTTCAGAAATGTATTCACTGTATTCTATAGGTTAATACACAACATCTACATTTTTTTAAAATTACATTTATAAATTTAGTCTAAGAAAGATATTTTTGTAAAAAAATATATAAAAGAAATATATGAAGGATGAAAGAGAAGAAAAAAATTAAACGAACAAGGGATAAAGCCCAATCACATGTTTTTTACTTTATATCTCCATATTTGTTCTGGACTTTTATATTTCTATAATTTTGTAATTTCATCTTTATTAAAGATTATTTTTAGTAAATAAGATGAGAAATTATTAATATTTTATATCTATTACATTAAAATTGGACTAAAATTAATTATAAGAATTCAAACCATTCATCTAAAATACATTTTTAAACTTAAAAATGAGTTTTAAAAAGTTTAATTGAAATATATTTTGAGAAAAAATAATTTAAAAATATATTCTAGATTAGATATTTCGAAATATATTTTTAGATAGACTATTCTAAAAATATATTTTTAAATTAATTGTTTTAAAAATATATTTTAAATTCAATGTTTCAGAATATATTTTTGGATTAATTGTTTCAAATATAATCTAAAAATAATTTTTAGAATAGTGAATCTATAATATATATATATAACATCCAATCGAAAATTAAATATGAATATATTGAATAAAATAAGATTTATTTTAATTTTAAAAGTGATAGAAGAACTATGGACCTACAAGAACAACCACCTTTTATTCCTTTTGGGCTTAAATATTGGCTGGTCCAAACGTAGAATCTAAACAAAACTTGGCCCAAAAAAAACACTAAACTCACGCTACTCTTACACGATACGTTTTTATTTGTAAATTGATTATTGCATTAGAAACACATGCGCTAATATTTTTAAAAATTATGTTTTTATTTTCTCGTTCTACTCTTTAAAGGGATTTTTTTTCATTAATTACACATCACATTTTTTCATCTCTTATATACTCTATTATTTTTTTATACATAAATTATAATAACTATTTTTTAAAATTATAATAATAATGTTTTTTTCTATAACATTAAAAAATATCATAAAAAAGAATCTCATTATATATAATTATAAATCCCATTATATAAATATATATATTATATTAATTGGTTTTAATTATAGTGTTTTTTATATTGTAGTATTATATTATTAATTATATATTATATCTTAAAATAGTTTTAATCATATTTAAACTAAAAATACCATACTTAAATAATACACGATATTTACATTATGTTGATTTTAGCATTTTGAGTTATAACAGAAAATTTATTTTAAAAGGTGTGTAATTCAATGAATATTGAAAGGTTAAGAAATATAATAATATATGAAAGGTTATAAATTAGAAACTAATACTTTACAAAAGCTTGAAGTGTGTTCTAGAAAAAATTACATATATTAAAAAAAAGAACAACTTGTTCATCAAGTATTGTTATAGGATTAAAAAGGATTTCAGCTACTTTATTTTCTTATCAAGTATTAATTATTATGATAAAAAAGTTGGTAATGAAATATATATATATATATATATATATATATATATATATATATTTATTTATTAGAAATCACTTAGAATAGTTAATATAATACTAAGAATAAAATATAAATCAATATTTTTTCTTATTGTTTCTTATTGTTGGTTGTTCACCTTATTTTTAATCTACTTTCATTTCAAAAAATTTCTCTATATTGATCAACATTACTAAAATAAAGTACACTGATCTTCTTAAAAAATTGAACATACTCTTTAACTTGATAGCTCTTAATAAAAATAAAACTATAAATAAATATAAGGATGAATTTTTATCTCTTAAAAATATTATAAAAATTTAAAAAATGACGATAAATTAATGAGATATGAGCATTTATAAAAGTTTGAAAATTTATTAAATATTCTGTTTGAAGAAAAATGGTTAGATACTGGAAATAAAAATAAATAATATATTAAGAACCTGAAATTAATTTAGACCGAAATGAAATTTTAAAATGTTAACTAATTTTTTCACTGATCTCACTAAACACACATTAAAGATATCCTAATTAAAAATTAAAATTACACTTATCTCATTTTAAATGGGTGATCCACTTTTTTGAGTGGCCGACCCCAAAACGTGAATGATCATATCATTCACATGTGAGTTTTCCCTTCGATGTGGAGATTTTTTTTTTTTCTGAAAAAACATGTGCCAACGTTAAAACCCCACAATAATCTTATCCCATCACAAATCGCTCATGCCATATACATTTACTGTATAAAATTGCTATTGGTAATAGTAGTAATTAATAGGATTTTCTATTTGATTTTCACATATAATAATAATAATAATAATAATAATAATAATAATAATAATAATAATAATAATAATAATAATAATAATAATAATAATAGTGATTTATTATTTGCATCTACCATATCTAAAGAGCAAGTGAATGATAATTGTATATTGTGTGAGTGGCTTATTTTCATGAATGATGTGTGAGGAAGTAGATGAAGTGATTTAAGACAGGGCATGTGAAGACTTTTCAACTATGCACTCATCCTCCAAAATTAGGTTTGCGTCCGACTCCAATGTATTGCACCAAAAGTCGGAAATAGGGAAAAGTAGATACCACTTCTTAAAATTAGTGCTTCCATTTATTTTATTTTATTTTATACTCTAATAGTTAAAGTTAGTTATGTTATATTATATTATTAAATTAAAAAATATATTAAAAACAAGATTTCAATTTGATTAGAATAAATTACTCTATGAAATTCTAATACATCTTTTTACTAATTTTTAACTTACCATTTTAAAAAAAAAATTCTCACTACATAGACTTAATTATTCTGATATAATATATAATGAATGAATTTATTTAATGTGTTTAGAAGCTAATATGATTTAAAATTGTTTTATTTGTGTTTAATAGGTATTTTCTTACTCGTCTTACCGGTTTTATATATAACTAATCTGTTTATTTAATTTTAAATTAAAATTTAAATATAAATTATTTAAATTTTATATAAAAAATATAATAAAATATTAAAGTATGAATCTTTCTCCTTTGTAATTTAACTTATTACTTGAATTCTAAACGGGATCTCGTTCATATCGCTGAATTCAGTGATCATCTACCTCCGTATCTTTCTGCATCCACCGGAGAGAGAGAGGGAAGTGGGACGAACTCTTAAGAAGAATTATTATAATTTTTTTCTTGTCTTTCTGGAAAACGAATTCAAATGAATTAGTGGTGATGATTTGACGAGGTGTAGATGAGAGTTAGGCAGTGTGGAGATGAGAATTTCCTTTCTAAAATGGAAATGCAAGTTGAAGCCCACACTGGCCTGCTTGTCTTTCCATTTATACGAATTATTAAAAGCTTGAGACACATCCCCATGACGTACACGTCCTTACGTGTTCTACAAGACAAATAATCGATTAAATGTGCTATTATGTAACATAGGAATCAATAGATTAAATTAATCTTACGTAGGGGAAAAAAATTACTACTAAATTTTTTTTTTCTATGTCAAAATAAAATTATACTTAACCTAACAATAAAGATTTCCGCAATATCTCTTTCTTCTATTTTGCGTGTTACCAATCACAAGATAAAAGTAGTTTGAAAGTTACATTTATCCACATATATATATAAGGATTCATATTATATTCTGTGCGAAGAAATCAGTGATTTTAAACCATGTAAAGTTTAATTAGGACAATAATAATTAGGTTGAGCGTGAGACAAATCAGCACAATAAATATGAACTAATTAATTAACGAAAGCTAGATAAATTTGATACAAAAAATCAAATAATTCATACTAGCTAGGGTTTACTACAATAGGAGCATGACATATTATTTAAAAAGTTTGTAACTCTCAAACATATCTTATATGGTACACCTACCATATTATTTTTACCATAACCATACAAAAATGCACATATATATATTACAAGTTCCTACATATAAATATATATATTTAATTTCAATCCTTAAAATTCACATCACATGAATGGTAACACCAAACTTGACTAGTATAAACGTACCTAATGATGTTATTAGTTAAGCCTGAAGACACAATAACAACAACTTAGGTATATTATATATATATCATTATTGTATATAATTAAGTACGATTTATAGGTTTAATCCCCATTGAGCAATTGCATAGGCCAGAAATCCTCCATGTTCCAATAGTTGCTGTTGATGTTGATGTTGTGATTGGTGCAGGAACTTGATTGATCAGTGATGGAAGGGAACTGAGTTGAAAATGGTTCCAAAGTTTCATGATATGAGGGTGTGGAATAAGTCTCAATTTGCTGTGCCATGTTGGAAACTTGGCTTGTGCTAGAACTTCCTTGATGATGATCATTTGTCTCTGAAATAATAATAGTATTGTTATTATTATTATTATTATTATTATTACCATGCTGCTGTGAATTCTCAGCTTGCTTCATGTGCTTCTGGATCCTGGTTCTCCAAAAGTTCTTGATCTCATTGTCAGTTCTTCCTGGAAGATGCTTTGCAATTTTGGACCACCTTAAAAAAAAATATTAATTAGAAATTCAGATGATGAGTACACCAAAAAAAATTGTGTATTTCTGGCAAAAAATTTTTTTTTTTTTATAAAGGTTACAACTTGTTTAATAACTTATAGTTACACTAATACTAATTGAAAGTTGTTAATGGGGATAATGAATAAGAAAAAAAAAAAAAAACACCAATGTTAAATGCATTTTTCACGTGTGTATTTATTTTAATAATTATCACGTGTCTGTTTGAGACCATGTTCCTTGGTCGAGAATAAACGTGTTGAATTTTGAGTCTCGCGTATAAAAGAGTTTGGTTATAAGTTTCTGAATCTCCCCTTCGGAATGATGCATTTGCCTTGCAACATTGGATTTGAGAACCAAATCAAATTTCTCCATGCAAGCCCCAGGTAAAGAGTGTATTTTGATTCAAATATTTTCAAGTTTCAAGAACTCATTTTTCCACAATTATCACCTCATAAATTTCCTTCTTTTCTTCCATTTTACCTATTCATCGTATGTATGTACACTTCTACTTACAAAATTTTTCAAATTTTCGTCAACATTTATTATTTTCCTATTATATTGCACCATTTTATCGTACTTACATCTTTTTTCTCTAATTCCCTCTTTAGTAGAGCATGAAAATAGAAAGAAGATAAGAAATCATGGTTGGTGTATGGTTGAATGAAAATAAAATAAATCAGGTGGAGTTAATTAACACTTTTTTTCATCACTTAATCTTCATTCATCTTTTTGTTTCTTCTCAATGAAAATAAAATCACTTTATTTCTTCCATATTTTTCATTCATCATTTCTATTAATCCAAAACCCTAAAATCTAAGAACTACTACGTAAGATTTGGTGTCCACCAATACTTTTCTTATTTTTATCATCATAAATCCAATTTCTTTGCTGAAGAAAAGCCACGTGTCATAATTATGTAGCTTGTTTGTTATCCCCATTTATGTCTTTTCCTTCTCAAATAATTGAGTTTTTTTTTTCTTGGATAGGAAAAAGAACTAAGGATGGGAAAGGTACTAGGGTCGAGCTCTGTGCATTATCCAAGTTTTTAGGTTATTTTTTCTAAATTTTTTTACTCGATTTCTTTTATTTTAGAATAAGTATTTTTAAAATGTAATTTTTACAAATGTCTATTTTAGAATAAAAAAGAGATACTACAAATACAAGTCTATCTTTAAGGACACACTTTACTATTCCACACCAATAAAAAAAACTATAGAATAGTTTTTTTTTTTAATAATAATTGAAAGGGGTCATAACTATGTTTTTAGAGTGTATAAGAAACTTTGATATAATTTGTAGGAGGAAGGGTGCATGAAAATCATTTGCTGTGATTAGAAGAAGAGAAACAAGGTAAAAGTAATATAATTTATTTTACTATTCATTTTTACTTGTTTATTTCTTTTCTTTATTTATTTATTTTTCATTTATATATTTTTTATTCATCTTATTTTTCTCCACTCTAAAAAATAAGGTCTAAGGGTTATTGGTTATCTCATATATTATTTTTAATATATTTTATCATAAAAACTAATATTTACAAGTTTAATTAATCATTTAGTTCGCATAGCTGTACAACTTTTTCTCTTAAGCTCTATATTTAAAATTCATAAATTTTAGCTCCTACACACACATTTCTATTTTTTAATTTCTTTTTAGTGTTTATCGTCTAAATTTATAAAGGTAGAGTTTTTTCAACGATAGAACTATTGCATATTTTTTCTCAAGAACAGTACCTGTTTTCTAGGTTCATGTTTTATTAATTTCTTATACTTTTGCACCTTATACAATTTTTTTTAAAAAAAAACTTCATATAATAACTTGATTTAGGATTTCCCCATTTTGATTCATTCATACATAGTTATACTTCTTATTATTATATTTTTTTTCCTAAAATTTAACTATTAAACTTTATATTTAACAGTTTAAAAAAATGACAAACAGTAACTTTTTTATTCCTTTTGTTATTCAAGATCTAAAAATTCATTCACCCCACAAACATATGCATGCATGTGGGTCAACAGTGAATAAAAAAATGTATCTTCAAAGAAAAGAAAAAAGAACTCTCCAATTTCTTTGATATGGGTAAAATCACAGGCAATCATTTTGAGGGTTTGAAAAACTTATGAAAACCAATTTACACGATCGAGGAAGATATTTTAGCATAATTTTAGAAACTCCCCAAGTGTTGCAATCTTTGTTCCAAGCATGCAGAAACTAGATCGCTTCCATGACTGTATTATCCTATAGCTTCCTCATGCTTTTACAACCCCAAAATGAACACTATCAAATGCTTGAAAATCATCACCTTTTATTAAACGATAAACTCTTATAAATTAGAAATGAAACTCACCTATTACCCCACTTTGCATGAAGTTCAAAGATCAAAAGCTGTTCTTCAGTTGTGATATTCCCTCTTCTAACATCAGGACGAAGGTAATTTAGCCAACGAAGTCGACAACTTTTTCCCGTTCGTTTAAGACCTACAAAAATATTTTATATATGAAGACGGTGAATATAGTAATAACCCTAGGGTTTATATAAAAAATAATAATTAACATATTTTTACCAGAAGCTTTGGCTAGAGAGTTCCAAACACCTTCACCGTGATTGGCAATATAGTTGATCAAGATCAAGTCTTCTTCCATGGTCCATGGTCCCTTTCTCACTTCAGGATCATGAGATGATGAGTTGCATGGTTTTTTGTCCATTATCTTGTACATATGCACGTTAGATAGATATATGGAGAGAGAGAAAGAGAAAGAAGAAGAAGAGAAGACGTGGAAATCATAATGAGTGTTGAGGGTTTAAATAGAGGATAATTAATTATATGATTATTTATTATAATATTGCTTTGTCGTTTGTTTTAACCCTATGTTTTACGTGCCTAACTATGTTCATCATATTAGCATGCATGCATGCATGCATGCATGAATGAGTATATTTGGTTTGTGGGATAAACCATAAGTTATTAGGACCAATGACCCTTGGATGGTCCTCTAAGCCATAAAAGCATATGCATGAGAAGCATGTGGTGTGTGAGTGTGTGGTACATTTTTGAAAAGAGGAAAGGAGTTACGACATTTAGTTCAAGTATCACAAGTCTTATTGGATAATGGAAGAAGGTAACCTTCACCTCCTTTAAAGTACAAAAACTATTTATGGACCTACAAATCTATTTCACATATAGAGAGAACAATTAAATATAATAGGAGCTTAAATATGTTTTAAGTTTCTATAAACATCATCTTTAAATTATTAACATTTTATAACTGTTCTTTTTTCACCTCTTCACGGTACAAAATGAAAAATATATTTCTTATTAAGTTAATATTATCATTTTTATGTGTAATCATACAATTTACTATTTTAACCATTTTAAATAGATGATGAATAGTTAAGGTCACAAATCTGATTTTCAATCAAATTTTGAATTAAGTTAGAAACAAATTTTGATGTTTAGAGTATGTTATCAAGTAGAAAAAAAATTGTATATTGATTATTGGTTATATTCTTTACTTAGTGATAAGAATTTTCTCTCACATTTTTATTTTTTTCAATTTTCAATTATGTTATGCAGTTTTTTAATTTTTATAAATTATTGATATTTATATATTTTGTAAATATATTTCATTGATTTTAGCATGAAAAAAAATCTATATGGGAGTGTGCTAGTGGTAGTAAATAGAAGAAACAAAATATAATTTTTTTATTATGAAATAAAAAATAAAAGGTTGATAACAAATATTTACATTTTTTATATATAATAAATGTGCTTATGATTAAAACTAAACTCTAAAATAAAATCAAGATTAATTTAAAAAAAAAGTAAAATGTAGTTGCTATCTTTAGAATAATATATTTTTGGTTAGAATATGATCTTGTTTCATCATTTAGTCTATAGTGAGATCTATTGTTGTTTAATTTTATTAAATTTTAAAGTGAACTTTATTTAAAAATAAAATTATCATTTTAAATATAACTTTTAATTATGCATTTATGTGATTAAGTCCTTTTGAAGTTTTAGAAACTAAATAAATTATTATAATTACATTTTTTTACTTACTAATAATTTATTGAAACTAATTAAGTTAAGGAAATTTATTATTTTTATTTAATGTAAAAATAAAGACTTTACTATATATAAGACAAATATGCCATTTTTTTAAAACTCAAACCAGCATAAATATTAATTGTTAATCATTACCTAAATTTATGTTGTATCATTAATTCTTATATTATAGTACCTATAATCTAAATTATCCAATATACATCTTTTCATTTAATTCTAAAAAATTTCTATAGATCAAAGTGTTATAGCAACATCGATCATTTGAACACTTTTATATATATAGCTTAATCTCTTTTAAAGACATGTATGTTCTTATGTTATATATGTGCAAGTTAAAACGATGTTTTAATATAAGATTTCAACATATGAAATACAATGTAACAAGTTTATATAAGTTTCTACATCTTATGTAGTTATTATATTCAATAAAAGAAACACTATTTTGGTTATAATAAGTTATCAAATGCATCATTTAAACATTGTATAAGATAGGACATTTATCAATCAAGCCATTGAATTCTAATTATTTTTTGTTAAAATTAAATAATATTAAAAATGTAACAACTATTCTTATTTTCATATATTTAACAAATGCTCGTAATATATACAAAACATCTAACTAGTTTTTATAAGCCTCTCATCTTTCCAATATATAGCTCCAACAACCTCTAATATCTATGAAGGAAAAAAACTGTTTTGCTTTTGAAATTACAAAAGAAAATTAACTAAATATATTTTTTTAATATGACGAAAAAATGTTCTCCAAACGAGATATATATATATATATATCCTCAAATTGAAGGTTGTAATAAAAATCATTTTTAGGATGAAGACAATTCCAATGAAAAATCATTTTCAAAAGGTGTAATAAAATCTTATATAGATTAAAAATACGATAATATTACTATATATTAAACCAATTTTTATAAAGTGAAATTAGTATTTTAAGATAATTCTATATTTATAATCCAAAATTTTGTTTAAATTTTTATTTTTCATTCAACTAAACTATAGACCTGAAATAATAATGGGGTAAAATACATGTCTTTATAAAATTCCTAAAATATTAATTAAATGCGTTCTTTAAAAACAATTATTTTTTGTTTCTATAAATTTTTAAACATATTTTTAAAAATATGGTTTTAATTATTTGGTAATAATAAGGAAATAGGAAAGCTTATATTGGTGATGTTTTTTACATATATAATATTAATTACACATGTAACCAAAAGGAGTTTTTATTGAAGGGGTAGAATAAGTATATGTGACCCTAATAGAAAGGATATTGCATCATGATGGATGGTTTAGACTAAAATAATAATAGAGCTCTTTATTTAAAGTGACAAATTCCTAACTTGAAGGAAGTGAACCACTAGACTCATTATGTGATCAAATCAATTGGTCTTCTTCCTTAATTTTTCTCACCAACTAGCATTTTTCAGTTCAGACACCAAGGAAAGTTGCATAAAAGCATTGCTACTTTCGCAAATCCATGTTATGGGTTTTCATATATTCAACACACACCACATGCTTAGGGTGTGGGATCATCGTTCTATTACTGTCTTCTTATAATAATCAATTATTCTAATTATTGTAAAAAAAATTACATATAATTAATATTTTTTCTAATAATTATAATTATATATATAACTCACGCCATATTTAGTATACAACAATCTTTTATTTTAATATTTTTTTCAAAAGTAAAACTTAAAGTTTATTTTTTTACCAACAAACTGAAAGTTGATTTTTTTACCTACAAACTGCAAGTGGAGATTTAGTTGAAGAAATTGGATAGTAATTGTGATTAGGAATGAATTAAGAGCATGAGAGATCTGAAAAAGGGTGTTGTTTAATCCATGCATTAAGATTCGAATTCCCTTAAAAGGCAGAAGAGTCCAGCAACACTACATTATCTGGTTTCTTGATTTGGAAATGTTGTTGATTCCTTTCTTAAACGTTAAAGGCTTCAAAAGAAGAATATGACATGGGATTAGTGGATAGAAAACTATTGGACTTTGGAGTGTCTACTTTATTTAGGGTTCTTAATTACCATTCACATGTCACACAACTAAAAATCTTTCAAAATGTATATTATATTACATTACGACCCCTCCCAACCACATATATTTTGTGGCTACCACATATATGTAGGTCACATGGTGTGGATTACATTACTAAGTTACAATTTGGAACAAAAATGTTAAAATATGTATCTTTATCGTCACAGTTATTCATTTAACTAAATCGTTGTTTTTTTTTAATTAACTATTTTTTTATAATTATTTACATTTTTCTTTTAATGTTCACAAAAATGATGTACTTAATTTAATCTTATAAAATTGATTTAACATGATAAAAAATATATTCACTTATATTTTATATTATTATGTTATTTATGATATGTGGATTTAATTTTTTACTTTACAAACGTTTTAAACTATAACAATTGTTATTCTTTTTAAATTTAAGTTAAAAAATATGTTATATATTGTGTTCAAATTTAAATTGAAAATATCATTTTGTTTTAAATTATAAGGATTCACTACTAAAAAGTTAATTATTTTCTGTACTTTTCTTTAAAAAAATTATTTAAATTTGTAGGAAATTTATTTATTGTAATTTTTATTACAAAACTACAAGAAAATTCTCATGAAATATAAGAATTTTTAGTAGTGATTTTTATTGCCTCTAAATATAATTTGTATTTTGTATTATTATCTTCAAAATTATATTAAATTAAATTAAATAGTATTTTTATATTAATTTATGTCATTGAGAAAAAAATATAATACATTTAATTAGAATATTTAAAATGATTGCATAAAACAAATTTACCCTCTACATTAGCAAGGACTAAACTATAAACAATATAGGGATACTTTTAAATAAAAAATAAAAAAATTGATTTCATTTAATATTATAATATATAAGAATAAATTAAGATGAGAATTTTGAAATTATGTAAAAAAACTTATAAAAATAAATTCAAGCCATTTTTATTAATATGACTTGTCAGATTTTAAAACTAAATTCAAATTAAAAATTATTGAAATTAAATTATTATAATATTAAATTTTAGTTTATCTAAAATTGAAATGTGTATTCTAATTTTGATATAACATATCTTTTAAAAGTTAAATCAAATTTAAGTTAATTAGAATAACAAGTAATAATATTTAAAACGAATATAAAATATAGACTTAACTACCCTTTTCTCACATTTATTTTATTTTTTTATACACATTTACTATACTTGTTAATATAATATAATATAAACACAATATAAAAAACATTTGTTATACTTTGTAATTAATCATTTTAATTTTATTACATTATATTTCATCATCACAGGAAACAAATAATTCACAGGGTTGTTTATAAAAAAATATAAATGATTTTAGTATAGTAACATTAAGTGATTATATATATATATATATATATATATATATATATATATATATATATATATATATATATATATATATATATTACCCTATACATTAGCAACGGTAAAAGTCATATATAGTGTATGCATATTTTTAAATATAAATATATTTTATGAATAAAAGTGAATTCATTGAATAATATATATTTAAAAAAAAATAAAGTAATAAAACTTCTAAAAAAATGAATAAAAGGATTACGGAAATAAATATTTTTAAATTAGGAGCCGCGACAATTTTGTTTGTATGAAATCAGATATTTCAAAAATAAATTGAAATTAATATGAATTATGTTCCAGTAATTTCATAGTTTCACACAATTTAGAATTAATATTAAAAATAATTTACGTATATATTTTACTTTCAAGAGGTCTTTTAAAAACAATTATTTAAAAGTATACAATATCTCGCGATAATTAATTATAATATATTATCGAAACATTTTTTTTAGATGAAATAGATTATAATTAAATTGAAGTATATTGTTAAATTTTTTTAAGTATATTGAAATATATTTTTAATTTGATATAACATATATCTTCAAAATTTTAAATCAACTAAAAATTAATAAAAGCAAGTAGTAATATTTAAAATGAATTTAAAATATAAGGAAAAGTAAATTTGATATTTAATACAGAAAAGTTTTTCATGTTAATTAAAATAAAATATTTTTTCAAAATTACTCAGAGACTCAGAATTAATTTATTATATAAAAATATATGATAATAATAATAATAATAATAATAATAATAATAATAATAATAATACGTAATATCACTATAAAGTTATTTAATTGAGTTTCTTCATGAATACTTAGCTTATAGGACTTTTTCACAATGTTCAATTTAATTTGTTTTCTGTTTTTTTGTGTAGATGTGTATATGAATAATGTACTCTTAGGATTTCTTTTATTAATGGTTATATTATTTAAGAAATTTATGAACATTTTTAATTGTTTTGAAAATTATAATAAAATAATTAATTATATTAAAATATAATCAATAATAATTTTAAAAACTAACATTATCTCCCTTGTATTTTCATTTGTTAATGAAATTTCAAATCATTTAAAAATATAATTTTTCAAATTATTTAAAAATATTTGATTAAGTTGTTTTTAACGAGTTTATACATAGACTAAGGAATAAAATAATAGATCATCACTATAATAATTAATTAATTTTATTTTTAAAAACTTTTATAAACTTCCTTTCAATCTTCAAAATTTATTTTTTTATTAAATACTCTTGTGTTAGGTGCTTCCAAGAACACTAAAAAATTTAAAGTATTTTTTTTTTAAATAAAGAACTTAATGATTGAAGATAATATATATTAATAAGCTTATTAAAATTTATTGTGTTAATGTTTTTAGATTTTAATGAAGGTGATATCTTAAAAAAAATTAAAATATGTTGTAAAAACCTATGTTTAACTTAGTTGTATAATAGGTTTTAATACATTTTATTTTTTTGAATAAGTTTTCAAGAGAGTATTGTATAGTACATGTGAAGTATATATAATATTAATTTTCAATAATTTGGTTAAAATTACTTGCATTAATTAATATATTGGTGTGTAATAAAATCAGTTAAAAAAATCAATTAAATAAATATCAATGAAAATATTTTAATTAATTAAAAAATGTTTTGCTGTTTGTATATAGTATATTAGGTCATTGATAGAATTAAGTCCAACTTTGAAGAGATGAGTTAGGTCATATATCCATGAATATTTATCACCTAACTTCGGGTTAAGTTAACTTCATTCATTAAATAAGTCAACTAATGTTTTTATCACAATTTAATTAGTTATTAAAAAAAAACTATTTTTTTAGCCAGTTAAAATTAAAAAAAAATAGTAATAATTAACAAGGTTATAGAATCTGTTTGGATTAAAGTTAGAAATATTTTTGGATGCTTCTCTATTGAAAACATAATTAAAAAAAACGTCCATAAAATGCCTCATATATTTATAAATTAATTTAATATTAAATTTTAAGTGATATAGGATTTTTAGATACATTAAAACATTAATAATTTTCTGTTTATGCTTAAAAATGAATAGACTGGTATCATTTTTTTCTTATTTGGAGTTCTACTCTGATGTAACATTTGTAGCACATTGTGTGGAAAATAATGAAGTGTTTTGAGGATGTTTATTAGATTGAATTCATGATTATTGCATGAAGGTGATAGTTGAAAGACTAATACTCCATGCATACTTCAACAGAATCAACATTGAAATGACACAACATTCAAAATCTAATCAAAGAAGAAAAAAGCAAAATTTCTAGTACATGTTAGTTTTTGTTGCTACTTATATCTCCACAACTATTTTTGTTGTTGTTTATGTTTATATTTCCATTGAAATTAATAAAGTTTTAATAGATATTTATGATTACATATATAATTTTTTATGTGACAAGTGACTAATAACGTATATGATTTTAGTAGTTTAAATTTAATAATTATTAAATATATTAATTTATATATTTATAAATTAAATTTCTCATCTTTATATTTTTCTAATCCTTTAATATTTATTTATTAATTAATAATAATATAATAATTGGTTATTCAAAATTAATAAAACACAAAATCTTATGTTTTAATAAATTTGAATATATTAATTAGGTTTATGCATATAAACAAGATATGAAATAAGATTAGATTAATTAGGTTAAAATTGCTCAAACTTTATAATATTTATATAAGTGAGACTATACCTACCTCTAACTCTTATAATAATGAAAGTGCATAAGATTGTGAACATTGGACCACTCACATTCGAAGAGATACTATTCCACATTCCACATTAATTAGTAGTATTTACAAAGTTTGATAATTCTTAATTTACACAATTTAATATTTCAAGTATTCCATAAAATTATTCATTTGTGTTAATTTTAGATTTGGTATAAATACTAATTAACTCCAATAAAAAAAATATTATTTTCAATTCAAAATTCATCACGAATACCTCACACCTCAAATTTCAAAACTTAAAAATAAAATTTGGCATATATTTGAACCTTGGTAGCATTTATCAAGTTAATATCAATTCAACAATTTACATAAGAAGAAAAAGTTACACTTAAGTATAATATTGATTCCTCTGGTTCTCAATTATGTTCATTTATACATATTATATATATAAATATTTTTTCTTTAAACTGTTTTTAACATCATCGTTTCTTATAATATAAGATTATTTTTAATTAAATATATAAAAGAAGAGAAAAAAGTGTAATATATATATATATATATATATATATATATATATATATAAATATGAGATATATTTAAAAAATGGAACAAAAAGATTAATAATACAAAATAGACACGTATATATTTAGTGTATATATTTTTACTAGTTTTAAATAAAGATATTTAGTTTTTATTTTTTTTAAATACATATAATTTTAAGATTGAATAGTCATTTTTCCTTATATTTATTTATTATATGTAATTAATTAATATTTATAGGAAGCCAAACGTATTACAAGGTGTATTGGATGTGAAAGAGAAATAAAGATTGGTGTGGTGATTTAAAATCTTACTAAAAAAACTGATATATCAACAAAGAATATTTATCTTTAAAATAAATTTATTTTAATAAAATCTGTTTATATTTATAAAAATTAAGAAAAATTCATACAGACTAAGAGTAAGATATTTTACGGAGAAAAAATATTTTATCGTTCTTAAAATAATTATAATTATGTATTATATATATATTATAAATACTTTTTAAAATCTATAGTAATACTTTTAGTTTATATTATATTTTTTATAAATTCTAATTGATGTATAATTTAGTTGGATATTTTAATGAATTATATATTTTTAATTATTTGAAAATAAGAATAATAGTCTTTGATATAAAAGCATGTTCCCCATTTAATAATCCAAATTCGTGTGTCATTTTAAAAAAAAAAACTATAACTTCTTGATATTATGTGATCATTGACACTAAAAAGTAACTAAAATTAATCAAGAAATAAGAAGTTAAAATGACTGAATTGAAGGTTGATTAATGAAATATTGAATTCATTTAGAAATCAGATAAAGGAAAAGTATGTGCTTTAGAAATTATTTATGAAGAATTCAACAGTGAGTGAAAGTTAAGTCACTTGAATTCATTATATTACTCATGCAAAGTAATTAAAGATAAAAACAACAATTACAAATCAAACATGTCATGTGCAAAAAGCACTCTTAAATTCATTCAAAACCGAATCTAATATGAACAAAAGAATAGAGATGGCTTAATACCTAGGGTCTATTATTTCTTGATCTGAACTTTCCTTTTTGAGAATTATGCTTTTGGTGGAAACAGACAAATCATAATCATCCGTAAGACATTTCCATATCTATGTGGTACTCTTTTCTACTTGGTTGGTCAAAAATGACATGCTAAAAAAAATTAGCATAAGTATTTTACAAACCTACGCAGTTTGAAAAAATCTTGTGGTTTATTTTTGCAATATAATAATTTAAGTTATATTTGATAAAAAAAATAGTAAAAAAAAAAAACAAATTGGCAAAAAATTAAAAGTGTTGAATTAAAGGTGTAGACTTTAGTTATTTTGTCTGGTTGTCTTCATTGTGGATTAATACCCCATGAAAGGAAGCTTGTAATCCAACTGTTCTATTCACAATATAAACTTCTCATCACCTATCATGGGAGTCTTCAACAAGAGAAAAGACATTGAAGGCATAGATGAATGGATAGTTACAAAGAAACCTGGTAGTAGACTACCCGACAAGAAAAATCAAGTCAAAGGTCTAAGCACCAGGCTACCACCATCTCTCCTAACCATAAAGTAGATTTTGGATCCTCTTTTTCAATAACTCAGGCATTAGTTGGGAACTATGAGCTCAGGAATCACAAAATTCAACACAATCAATTTCAAGAACAAATCCCATAATTCATTCCCTTCACAGTTGGAAACTATGTCCCTTCTTACAATGTATTTCAACCAAGACAACTAAGGGGTACAAAGAAGACAAGGACATCACATGTTAATACTTCTCGTATAGACAAGTCATTTTCAAATGAGATTCCTACTTTTAAGTCTGACAAGGAATTAAACAGCTTACTATTACAATCTATTATAATAATATAATAATAAAACCTATTATTATATTATTATAATGGATTGAGTAATGATTTTTTTTTTCTATCCAGTTGTCAAAATAAAATCATTCTTAAACATCTTTACACACCTTGAATATAGTGATTGTGGCTAAAGTTCTTCACTAATTTTTGAAAATTTAAATTATCAACAAATTAATCTTAAACATTATTTTTATTTTATTTTAAAAGTTTAAAATTATAATAATCTATTTTGTTAGTCACTTCGCCACCCTGGATGTTATGGGTAATTTTTTTTCTTTCTTAATAAATACCTTAATAAAACAAAAAAATCACCTTTAGTTTTGAATTAGAGACATTAATTCATTTTTTTAATTTGAAGGACTAAAATAATTTTCTAAAATTTAGAGATTTAAATATATTTTAACCCAAATTCTAAAAATTTAAAATATATTACAATATTAATAAAAATTCAAAAATAACTTTTTACATTGTTATTTTATTAATGTATTATAAATTGTGAATATCATTAAACGAGTCAACAACAATATTGAAGAAAAAAATATATTTTAAAATTCAGAAACTTAAAAAATCATTTTTGAATTTAGAAGATTAAAAGAAAAAATGAGTCAAATGTGAGAGAGTCTAAGAACATATTTGAACCTCAAAAGAAAAACAATAGACAAAGTATTTGTAACAAAACTAAAACTGAACATAAAATATTATAAAGCAAAAACATTATGAGTTAATTATATTTCATCCAAACAAAAAAAAGAGGAACCATGTCGTATTAAATGTACGAGTTTAATTCTTTCTAACATCTTACACCTGAAAAGTAACCTAGTTTGACTCGTTATCTTTTTCTCAAGTCCTATTAAGATAACATGTAAAATCATTTGTTACTCCATAATATATGTTTTATTATCAAATTTATTACTAAAAATAATTTAGACAGATCTCCAATTCTCAATCACATTAAATAATTTAAAAACCAATTCAATCAAAATTAATTCCATTATACTTTCAAACAAAGGCAGTAAGAGGCTATCAATACTAGATCAGGTGATCCAAGCCCAAGAGAAAAAACGGTGCAGTTTTCTATCCTGATTCAATATCACCAGCAATACCCAAGAACAAAACAAATGGAAATATTCAATCGATAATCAAACTAACAAAATGAACAAGAACAAGGCTCAAACAAAACGATTGCAAGAGGTCCAATTATAGCTAAAAGTATTAGCTAATTTAAGCAATCATACAAACCAAGTTAACACAGAAGAGAATACTTCTAATAAGCATTCAGCTATTACAACCTTAACTAGAAAGGATAACCATCTTTCTCCCAGAACCGCCAGCCAGACTCGCATGAAATCCCCAGACAAGACCCAAAATTATCAAATGTGTCATGCCTAAGAAAACAGTAAAAATTGATAAGTTGCCAAACATAAAATCTATAATATATAACAGTCATCACGCTATTAACGATTTAACAAGAGCTTTTCTGTCTTACAAGCATTCAAAGACAGTTTTGTAGTAAACACATATTCTTATTTACACACAAACACTTTCACTTTTACTTAGTATCAGTCTTGTTCGATTTAGTAGCTATTTCAAGTTTTGAAATTTTGAAAAACTAAAACCAGATTTCAGATAGTTTCAAACTATATTCAGTACTTAAATTTATAAAAACTCAGTTTTTCTATTCATCGTATTCTTTCTTACATACTCATCATATCCCACTTCTAATGTCTAAAAAGTTTATTTGAAATTTGTTTTATAAAGTAATTCTTAAAAACTAAAAAAAAAATCAGAAATGAAGCTAAAATTGTTTAAAATTTGATTTTAAAATTCAATTTAACTCTATTTTAGTTTATCATTTTTTTTCTAGAGGTTTTTGTATTTGAACACCGAAAACGGAAAACTCAACAACCATAACTATGTGATACAATTTTTTCCTTTCAATCATTACATACTTAAACATCAATAACGTGCCAAAATAACCAAAGGAGGGAAGGCGGAAGACAACAAACCAAATCATGCCGATGGTACCTAACAATAACATATTAATTAGAGCTACACAGCATTGAAACTTACCTTGCTAGCAATATTGTTAGAAAGCCAGTCCAGACCCTCATAGAGACCCTCTCCAGAAGTTGCACAAGTGCTCTGGATATACCTGAAATAAATCAAGCCATTGAATGAAAAAGGGTTGCTCACACATGCAAATCTCTTTGGTCAAAGTTACTATAGCAGTGAAGTTACAGACTAATCCACGAAAGTTCCCTCTCACATATGCAAGAAAATTCAAACCATCAGTTTTATCCAAGGAAATTTTTAGATGCGGATTACTCTCCATACCAGTGGCGTTGACGGAGTGAATGAAGACCAAGCTTATCAGTTATTTCTGCAGCATTCATTGCATTCGGAAGATCTTGCTTGTTGGCAAAAACAAGCAAAACAGCATCTCTAAGTTCATCCTGAAACAAATCAACACTAAAATTAAAACACCGCCATTATAAATTTTCAAAATACTGTCATGTCATTTAATTCCAAAATCCATTATTTATATTATCTTGAATCCGGGTTGGGTCATTCAACCCAAAAACTAGCTCATATAGTTTATGAGATCCCAACACCCTTCCCCTCACCTCTAGGATTGGAAATTTACATTTGGAATGTAGTGATTGTAGGAAAGATTTTTTAATTCATATTGCACTGAGAAAGCTGCAGGACTAGCTATTTTTTTATTGCACCAGGAAAGCCACAGGGAAGATAGAGTTTTGGACTATGGAGGGTTGTTGAGTCCCTAAAACAAGTAGTTTAAGGTCCATGAGTCAGTATTGCAACAAAGCACTCCAATTACATCAATCAAATCTGCAGAGTTTCTATTAATGTAAAACATGATAATTAAAAAAACTCCAAAATCAAAGTCTAATATAATAAGTTAAACACCTTTCATTCCTTTTCTTTTTTCTTTTTTTCTGTTTTCTCATTTTGGCATTTAAAAAGATAAATATACACTCCTGAAGAAAATTAAAAGATAATATAGTTACCAAACAAGGAGATGTCAGTACAAAAAAAAGTCAGACATCAAGCAAAATTGAGAAGAAATGTTGTAGATGGTAAACACTCAAGAGTCAAGACTAAAACACTTTAAATAATAGGTAGTGTGGCTAGTCTGAGGGTTTTAGATATAGATCGGAAAAACTGAAAATGTTGAAAACCAATCAATAAAAAAATATAGAAAGAAAGCATACAAGGGCGGGTCAAACCTCTGAAGCTTTCCTGGTACTAGAACACATTCAAATCCTTGGGAATGGGAAGCAGCCATTGTGGGTAAACTATACATCACACGGTCAAAGGGAATTATTCCTATGAACAGCTCATAATGGTAAAAAACTATATCTTAGTCTAACCCAAAACGAATCAATCAATATAAAAAAGTATGGACAAATGTCAAGTTAGCACACTTAGCAATAAGACTCCCTCTCCCCCTAAAATGATTTTCAAACGACTTAAACACATGAAGAAATCAGGAAGAACACAAAATACTAAAATAATAAAAAGATAGATAACATGGATCTGATGAAAAAGGGTGTAATAGGGGCAGTTATTTTATTTGTTTAATATAGGAGTAGCATATTATGGGGAAGTGTTGTAATTCTAAATTCAGGGCAAAGAGTAGTATCTGTATAAGTCATATAACTCTGGGACAACAACACAAATTGTTGTATTCCAATGTGATTTAACAAAATTTCTATCAATTTATCAATGGTGTTCTATCAGGAATCAGGATATGAGTGAGTGAAAGAAGCAGGCCTATAAAATATACCTCATTCAGCATCCTGTGCAACTCATCCCTTGCCTCAACCACTCGATCTCTATCATTGCTATCAACCACAAAAATGAGACCCTGAGTGTTCTGGAAATAATGCCTCCATAGTGGACGGATCTGCATATAGCAACAAAAATTATTGCAAAATTGCATAAACCCGTATAAAAAAAATTAAACAATTGAATAAACAAGAGGCACTAACTAAACGTCCCACAGACATAAATAATGCTTTGAACTTGCTTAGAGAATACTAAATACCAACCAGAAGAAGACAGGTCCACCAGTGATGACAAAAAGAAATAATATAGCAGTAAATACAACACATAAATCAATTGATATGATCCACTTTGTCACTAAACAACAGTAAAACAATCATATAATACACACAGGCACTCCCATTACCATAAGAGAGAGAGAGAGGCATAAACAAAGGTAACCCTGACCTAACCTTCCTAAGAAATATAAAATCCACCTCCAATAGTCCTCAACTTTCTAGATCAATCAAATCAGGTGTAGAGATCAAGTTAATAAAAAACTTTAAAAGAGGATACTAAATACCAACCAGAAGAAGACAGGTCCACCAGTGATGACAAAAAGAAATAATATAGCAGTAAATACAACACATAAATCAATTGATATGATCCACTTTGTCACTAAACAACAGTAAAACAATCATATAATACACACAGGCACTCCCATTACCATAAGAGAGAGAGAGGCATAAACAAAGGTAACCCTGACCTAACCTTCCTAAGAAATATAAAATCCACCTCCAATAGTCCTCAACTTTCTAGATCAATCAAATCAGGTGTAGAGATCAAGTTAATAAAAAACTTTAAAAGAGGAATCAGAACACGAGAGACACTTTAAGAGTGAGTTATAGCCGTTAAAGAGTTTTACTAGCTCTTTGTTACAATTACAATAAGAAAAAACAAGCAGAAAGGGACAGGAAGAGCAGCTTTACCTTGTCCTGACCACCAACATCCCACACAGTGAAGCTGATGTTCTTGTACTCCACAGTCTCAACATTAAATCCTGCAAAGAAAAATGTGATTCATTAATTTCACAATTTACACTTGTATAATCATAAGAGGAAATACTGATTTATCAAATTCAATCCATAATGTTTATATTTCTACGTTAATAATATCATTGCACAAGTGCTAGAAATACCAAAGTAAATAAATTAACAAATAAGTGCAAAAATAATTCAATAAAATAGACATCTAGAACGTAAAGTTGGCAACATTGAAATCTGCAAGTGGTCTAATGACAGTCCCAATAGGTCCAAGAACATTTACTAGGATACTCTGTTACCACCTTAAACTGTGGAATTAAATACCAACTTGGAAGATGAGGGTTACCCTCCCTTGTATACTTTAATTTAGTCATTCTAGAATCTCCAACAATTCCCACAACAAAAAATAACAACACAAATGTCACCCTTAGGCGATCCATCAGGTTTGTAAAGAGTTCAAATTTTCACATGCTAAAAAATCACAAACACTACGCCAATCTGAACTATAAATCTTAGCTGTGTGATGTGCATACTTCTAATGAGATTTTTTTAGTCTTTACAACATTCTCCTTAGGAGAGAACGATGTACCAAACACAGAGACAATCCCGTTCCAAACATTGGGTGTGGACATCTCTTGAGCATGGATTCAAATCATGCTTCACCATCAATAAAAATAAATTAAATTTATAAATATAACACAAAGTAGATGGAGCATTTATTAGAAAGGAAAATTTACAGCGTGGAAAGTGAAATTACCAATGGTGGGGATAGTGGTGACGATTTCTCCAAGCTTGAGCTTGTACAAGATGGTTGTCTTACCAGCAGCATCGAGACCTACCATCAGAATCCTCATTTCCTTCTTCGCAAACAACCTACTGAACAGCTTCGTGAACGACAACCCCATCGTCTCTCACACCAAATCGCTGATCCACACCACGCAACCAATCACGCCATCGCAGATCCATCGCCAACACACAAATTCAAATCAGATATGGAAATAGTATTGTAATAATCAATTGAAAACTAATTATTAACGAAACGAAAATCGGAACGGAAAATTTGTTGGAGGAGGGGAAATTAAGATAGAGATCGAAAGGATTTGAATCGGATCGGAGAGGGATAAATTTGCATACCTCTTCTCGATTTTTGTTCTCGATTTCGAAGAGAAGAGCGAATCGCGATTTTTTGTTCTTGGAGAAAGACAGAAAGCGAGAGAGAATTTAGTTTGTCTTCGCAGTGTTATTTAATAACAAGCGTCTTCAATACGGCGTCGCATCAAATCTTACTGAAAACTCGTTCTTTTATACAAATCCTTTTTATCAATATCATCGCCATTCAATGATCGACGAATAATTTTTGTAAGAGAAATTATATTTAATTATTTTTCTAATAATCTGAAATAGTTATTTTGTATCCACTGTAATTTATTAATGTTATTACATCGTTTCTCATTTGTCGTACGTTATTTTTTTTTTTACTTTTGATCAATATTAACTAAAAATTACATTTTTCATATTTTTCTCTTATATAAATAATAAAATATAAAAAATAAAAGATAAAATAATTAGCATATATCTCCTCTATAAAAAAACTCTTACAAATAAAAAAATATATTTTTGAAATAAAAGATAACTTCATCTTAAATTGATTTTTTTTATTTTCTAATCAATACAAATTTAAAATAATCGTTCAAAATAAAATTAAAAATAAATAAATAATCATATTTCATTGTTATAGAAATTTCATAAATTAAAAATAAAAAAATATTTACAACTAAAAGAACACAAATAGAAAAAAGATAAATATATTTTACTTATTTTTACCAACCAAGGTACTTTTTAAGTGTAATTTACCAAATTGAGTAAATTTAAAAATAATTATAAATTTAGACAAATAGTATTTTAAACTTTTATTTATAATTAAGAAAGTGTGTTATCAAATATGATATTTTTTTTCACTAAAATGGAAACTTTTATCATTTTTTTTATATTTTGTGAATTAAATGTCACAATTTAATTATAAATATTTTTTCTAAGCGCTCGGTCCAATCTAACTTCACTTTACAATCAAGTAAAAAATTTTAGTGGTCCAATCTAATTTATAGTTTAAGATGAGCTAAAATTTTTGACCTAGTATAGTTTTATATTAGGCCAATAGATTAACAAACTATTTTTTGTTTAATTAATTTTTTAATTAAATGTATAAAATTATAAAAATAAGTTATTACTTGTCATATAACCTTAAGAAATTATAATTGTTCATATATCATAATTCAAACATATACTAGACAATACGTACTTTAGTTTTTTCTTTTCAGTTAAATATACGTTATAAAATTCCGTAATGGAAATGTTTATAGAATTTGATTTAAAATAAGGATTCAAAACTTTATTTACCTTTCAAATTTTCTCATACTCAACCTAACTAAATTGAATATCATGTTTAGTAATGCATCGTACATCTCGATAAATTTTAGAATAAATTCATTACTTCGAGTAAACTAGTTTTCTTATCAACCTAATGCCCCCATCATAATATTTTAAAAATACATTATTTTAAGAATATGTCATCTTAAATTATTGGTCTTTAAAAACAAATATGACAAGCATTAACAAAGACAAAAAAAAATGACTAAAGCAAATGAAAATTATGTTTAGAGTTTATTGTTCTTTCTAAATTATATATATATAAAACAAAATATATTATCAAATTAATTTATTATACTTATATCTTCTAATAAAATAATATTTTTTTATTAATAAAATAATATTTTTTTATTAATAAAATAATATTTTTTTATTAATAAAATAATAATTATTTGATAAAACGGACCAGTCCATAAACCTATGGATTAAATTGGTCTAAGTCCATTTAGGCCAAAATTTGCCTCATTTTATTTAGGTACTAAATTTTTTTACCTAGTCTAACTTATTTTTCAAGACTTTCAAGCTGATTCATCATATTAAATCTATTTTGATACCTTTAATTTTTTTCAATGACACTATTATAATTTTTTTTATTTTTAAACTAGTAAGTTTTTGTTAAAATTTTTAAAATATAAGATTGATGATTATATATATATATATATATATATATATATATATATATATGTGTGTGTGTGTGTGTAAACCAACTATTATTAATTTGAAAGCATTTATTTTTTCAACAACAATCATTGATTGTATGATCAGAATAATATATTCCATTAAATTGAAGATATTTATCATAAATTTCACTTATGAAATTAAATATTTATAATTTTGTATGTCTTAAAAAAATGATCTTATTAATTATCGACATATTGGATATTTTAATAATTATAATTAGTATTTTATATAAAATTCAGACATTAATTTATTTTAAAAAATAATATCATAATATTCTTATAAATTTAAGAATAATTTATAATTTTTTTTTAATTATTAAAATATTTTTAAAAAATAAAATCAGACTAAAATTGTTAAATAGATAATAGAATTGACTAGTTCATTGATATATAAAAAATTATATATATTTATATATGTCTAAAACTTTTTTTTTCCTTGATAAACTTTTGAATCTAAATCCAAATTGGCTAGTAAATCTTCACCCCAAACATTATAATACAAGAGTGTGAACTAATTTTAAGATATTACTAACAACTTCCTATGATGTATATTAATCTATATATCCCTAACATGACATATAGTGTTGATAAATTCAGCAAGAAACAATGTTGGAATCAAATTTTGATTGTGATGGGTTTCCTCTCTGAAGACATTCAACAGGAGGGATTGTTTTGGTCTTTAATTCCCCAAATGCTTCCCAACAAAAGGGTACATTATTAGGGTTTTGAGATGATTGTAGCTGAATGGTGTCAAGGGTTATGCCGGTGCAAGGTAAGCTATCACTGCATGCAAAATAAATAGGGTTCTTAGTGTATGTTCCTTTTATGTTCACATAATGTATGCCAGACACTGCAACTGCTGATGACTCATTTCTGCACCTGCCACCATCACAATAGTATTGGTCAATGGAGATTGGAGTTTCAACGCCAGAAACTTGAACGTTTGAGAACATGATGTTTTGGACTGAGCCAGAACCACCCTGTGGAATAATATACCAACAATATCAATAAAACTTTCAAATTAATCTATGAATGGAAACATGGAATTTTCATATTCAAAATGAAACCATTTTATACCTGCCATGTTTTGATTCTGACACCAGTGAGAGTATTTTGGATGTTAACATCCCTAACAGTGATGTTTGTGACACAGGCTTTGGTGTTCTCCTTGCCAAGACTTCCAATGCTGATTCCATGGCCAGGTCCACAATTCACGTTGTGAACGTATATGTCTGAGCAACCAGTTTGTATCGATATGCAGTCATCACCTGCACAATTTAACACCACAATATAACTCACCATTTTCATTTCACACTTCAAACTTGTTTTTTCCAAATTTTGGAGAAATTTATGTAGAATCTAACTAGAAATTTCTCATCGGATTGACACTAATGAATCATATCAATATAAAAAAATATAATGACTTTTTTATGAATGATAAAGTTATATATGAGTTGGTTGATATTAAAAAAAATATACTAATAATACGTCAAAAATTAAACTCAATTAAATATCAATAGATTATATTAATTTTATCTTTTTTTGCCATTCACGAGAAGAGATAGCGTTTGTTATATTACTATTGATTTCTCTTGATGTTATTTTGTTGATCTCATGAAATGGTAGTTAGAAGTTACATTATTGGATGCAAGTTGAGACTGTGGACCTATTTTAGGATTAAAAGTATCATTCATCACGAGATGCAACATTGTTTGTGACATTTTTTTTTTTTTATATAGCTATTAATATAAGACATGGTGAAAACTAAGGTTTTTGAGATTTTGGTTATATTTTAGAAGTATGCATGCTTACCACAAGCAAGTGTGCTGCTGAAAATAACCACGTTTTTGGAGTTCTGCAGGTGAATTCCATCAGTGTTGGGGCTATCACCAGGTGATGAAAGGTTTATATCAAAGACTTGAATGTTTGTGCAGGAGTCAAACTTCAGGTGGGTCTGTTGGCTGTTCTGAATTGTCATGCCTGTCACTGTTACACCATCACTTCCATAGAACCTCAAGGCCTAATCTCAGAGAAGCAATAACACAAAAGCATGAGAATCTTAGTATGATGTAAGGATTAAAAAGGATAATTTCAACTAGCAAGAATGTGTTTGTTTTGAATGATGCAAGGAGTAATCTTACTGTTGGTTTTGTGGTTGGAAGTCTTCCAGTGCTTTCCACCATCATCACTTCTGTGGGGTTGGAAGTTGGTGAGTCATTCCACCACACAGAGCCTTGGCCATCAATGACACCTTTACCTCTTATTGTAATCTTCTCAAGCTTTGAAAATTCAAGCCATTGCAGGGTACCAGAGCCCCAATAGCTTCAGAGCTTGTAGGTGCAATGATTTTTCCATCCAACTGCATGTGTTTTTATGATCAACGTATTATGTTAGTGTTAAGCTTTTATCCTAATATTCTTTTTCAATTTCAAACCTCACAAGTACAAATTTTTCAACAAATATATAAAAAGGGTCTTAGGCCTATGTTCTAGTTGTGTTGTAGGGGAGAGAAAAAGGGAAGAGAGAGAGTAATTTCTTGACCTGAAAAACAATGTTTGGCTCACAGTTAGGACCTGAGAAAGAGATTGGTTTCACCAAAAATACAGAACCAGATGGAACAACCATTGTTGAACCCTCCACCTTACAAGCAGCTTCCCATGCTTCTTCAAAGGCCTGTGTAAATTTTAAGGTGGTACCAAGTCACAAATACACATACAAAATCTAGTGAGTTTATCTTTTAGACAAGACTTTAATGCAGATTTTTTAAGCATTTTTTGTATCATCTTTGTAACTTAAAGACAAAACTAGTAATTTGAATTGAAAAATGACCTTTGTGTCATCTGCATGTCCATCACCTTTGGCACCATAATCCAATACATTAAAAGTAGCAGAAGTTGCTTTGAGTTTCCTCCAGTGGCTGACACGTGAGGCAGTGCAGCTTGAACACCACACAGAAAATGCAGTGGCAATGATCAATGCAATGATTTTTAGATTCATGTTCTTCATTTTCAGAGAGAGAGAGAAGATACAAAGGAAGAAGAAATGGTTAGAAGAGAAAGAAGAGATTTTCTGTGGCTAACGGAGTGGGAAATTGAAGCTCTATTTATTCAGAGAAAAATTGTGACACTTGCTATGCACACGAGACCAACAGTACCATCAAATCGTGACCGTTCACAGGTCATGACATCTGCTACAATTCAATTGGGATATTTTATTTATTTATTTTGTAATCTGATTCACAATTCATTATGTTTCATTTTTATTTATTATACATTGTTTTTTTCTCCAATAAAAAAACAGTTATATAATGTAATATATATAAATACAAGATTTCAATAAATACTAATGAAACCAATGTCTTATTATATGCATTTTCAATTTAATTATATGTATTTATAGTTTAATTATTTAAAAATGTAAATTACAATTAATATGAAACAAGTTCTATAGTTTATTTACACGATTCATGCTAAAGTCGTTAGTAGTTATAAAAACAAAACTTTTGACCTAAGGTATATGATTTGATTGATTATTATATATAATTCCTTGCACCCATTGACACGATATGTGGAGATTCATGAACTTTTGCTTCCAATAGGGATCAACTTTAACCCTAATAATCTTATTAACACGCTGTGGAGGGCCATATATACCACGGACTCACATTAAAAAAAAATCTTCATTTTTGGGTCTTGTAAATAAAAAATAATAACTCAGAAACAGAAGAACAGAACATCTAAATTCAACCCTATGACATATGATACGACGCAACTTGAGAATTTTAATCGATGATGTTTTTTATATTTTAATTGCTGCATTCACGGACTCATGTTTCAATTTTTGTTTTGTTTTAATCCTTCTAATACATATTTTATGATGTTATCTTCTTATAGTGATTATTATGTTTAAAATTATCATTTAACTTTTTTTTTGTTGTTAAATGGGATGGAACGATTATTTAAGACATTAATTAAGAGCTCAACAAAAATTAAATTATTAAACAACATTTTCCTTACTTAATATTCCATATAAAGTTAATTCTAATATTTTTCAATATTCTTAATTCAATTTTAAAAAATTATTTTATAATATATCATTAAAAATAAAATAAAAATACATGATAATTTCAATATAACTTTTCGTACTATCCATTAAATTCATTATCATTAATTTTAAATTTTTTCATGAAAATCAATATATTATTATATTTTATTAAATCGTATTTATGATATTTAGTATCATTATCATGATTTTTTTCCTTTTTTACTTTCATTGGTAAAATGCATGTTTTTTATATTTATAAATGTAAATATAATTTACATGTATTTTATTTTCTCTAAAATTTTAAAATATTAAAAAATAAAAGAAAAATGATGAAATAAATTGGGAAGAAATTTCGCATGAAATTCGTGTCTAGAAAGCCATGAAAGCCGGCAACCAAAACGGCAAACTGAAAGAGACAGCGCATGTGACTTAATGCTTCAAATTTTAATAGTTAAATGTTTTATTATATTTTTAGAATAATTAGTCATTCATTTATTATATATATTTTTATATTTAAATGTAATATTTAATAATTTTAAATTTTAATAGAAATTAATAAAAGATTATAATTTTCATTATTTAAATTAAATATTTAATAATATTATTATCGTTAAAATAAATTAATATAAAACTAAATTTATATATTTTTAAAAATTTAAGGATTAATTGAAATATATATATATATATATATATATATATAAATTAAAATAAAATTTATAAGAAAAACAAATATTTAACCCAATATTAAATATATGAATTGTCTGTATATACTTTTTGACTAAAAAAAGTTGAAAATACATGTAAAATTATATAAAAAGTTTAATGATTAATTTTTTTATTTTATAGGTATTTTTATTAAAATAATATTAAAATTCTTAAAATTTACGATAATTAAAATCATTCTCTAATAAATTATTACTCCAATTAAAATTTTAAATACAATTTAAAACAACTATCACATCTCACCAACAACATTTATAATATTTAATATATGTGAAACTAAATCACCTAAAATTAAAAAAATTAAAAATTACTTCAATATTATAATACCACATGACATGTGTCACGTTTAACTCTTTTATTATTTCGTAATATGTTAAAGTTGACGAAATTTTTATTTGTTGTCACTTTTATTTTAGTCTTATGAGGAAGCTGGTTGCGTACTAATAAAGTTATAGCTAAGTGATTACTTAAATTAATATAAGAAATAATGAACAATATTTTTTTTAAATAGATTGCGTAATAAAACAAATTTATCGTAGAAAAATGCACACCATCTTTTGGTTGCATGCATTCTTATATTATGTATGGATAAAATTTCTCGTAATTATTTATTGAAAAAAATCATTTTAAAATTAAAATTAACTCATCCATAAACTTCAAAATTAATATGATTAACTTATATATTTTTCTTTCTTTTATATTATATATTTATTATATTATAAAAATATTATTTTATTAAATTTATTATCTTTTTAAGTGAATTAAAATTCTAAAATGGCATTAATTGAAAATAAAAAAATTTAGAATAATACCATTGTTATGGTTAATGTTGTAAAGAATGTATTTAAATTATCTAAACCCTAAAAATTATCTCCTCATTGCTGAAGTCATAAATGACCTTTTAACTTGGGGAAATTATTTTTTTGTGATAAGTTATTCAAATGGGAATTTAAAAATCATACGAATTGTGATATTGAAAAAAAGGGTTTAAATGAATAGTAATGAGAAAGAAAGAATTCCAGTGGAGTCGGAAGTTTTGAAAACATTTAATAGACAAAGTTACCACGCGGCCATCAATGCCATAGGTTTAGGGTATAAATATTGACGATTAAATTTTATTAAAAACTATAAATAATTTAAAATTCATTTTATTAATATAATTTTAATTTTAAAATATATATTTTATTTTAGTATTTAAAATTTAATTATTTTTTATAACAAACTAAAATAATCCATGAACTCTATATAAAATAAATTACACTTACATGTATTTTTAATATTATACCAGCAGAGTTTATTGAAGGTGATGAAATCATAATCTTCTACAAATTTGAATTTTATATATTATTTATGATGTTGATTTCAAAAATTTAATAATGAACAAATATATTTGATTTTATATTTATAATTTTGATTTTTCATATTTTTATATTTATTTATATTAATAATATATTGTTTAATTTTAAAATATTGATTAAGATCTTATTTATTATATTTATCTAAATTTTTCATTGAATAAAAAGTTGTTCTCTCAATAATCCTAAATCTTATAATTTTAAATCTTAATTTAATTCTTTTAAATAAATGTTAATACAAAAAATAATATATAAAGTAAATATATAAAATTATTTTACTACAAACAAATAATCTTATATTATTAAAATATTAAATAATACTGAAATAAATATATTTATTATAAAAAATATTATTGTAAAAAATCTATAAATAAAATTAATATATTTTGTATATATCAACTTCTATATATATATATATATATATATATATATATATATATGTATATATCTTCATCTCTTCCTTTTTATATTATAACTTAAATATCATAAATAAAATCAACTTGATTTAATTATTCATTCATATTCTATAATTAATCTTATTATATTTTTAAAAAATTACTTAAATAGAATTTTTATAAATTTATTTACTCATGAACAGATTGATATACAAATTTAATAATAAAAAATAAATTATTTTGATATAATACAATTTTTTATATCTTTATTTATTTATTGTTATTTTTTTCTCTCATTTAGTTTTTTTTTCCTTCTTTGTTTTTTCTCACTCGATCTTAATCTTCTAATCAAAATGATTTTTTTATTATATTTTTTAAAAAATTATCTAAAAAATACTATAATTTAATATATTTTTTAAATATTATATAATAAATTTGAGGAATATTACAAATATTATTCTTATGTTATAATTATTAAAAAAATTAAATATTTATTTTAAATATTTTTTAAAAATAAATATTTATTTTAAATTAATTAATCTGACTATTAAATAGATTTATTTCGAAGTAATTTTTCTAAATAAACTGGATTAATGATCAATACTCAACCTAATTATAATTATATTAAATTATTAAATAAAAATAAATTTAATTTATTAATATTTGATATTTTTAAATTAAATAAGTAATTGATTTATTATGATAAAATAATTTTAAATTATTTATTTATATAATTGAAAATAATGATTTATATGATTTTAAATAATTAGTTGATATATTTTTAGTTTTAAGGTTGATTTTTTAAAAAATTACTTTTAACATGTTTTTATTAAATTTTAATATAATAATTTTAAGTAAAAGAATAAGTGAGAGAGAAGGAAAAATAAAGAAAAATAACAAATAAATTAAAGGAGAAAAAATTATTAATAAAAATTAATAGGATTAATTCTTGAAACTCATTTATTATTATAATTTGTATGTAATATCATGTCTCAAATAAAAGCTTCTGCAAGAAAACACAATATATATCATCCCATTATATATGCAATTCGCCTTATCATTACTATCTCACCTTCTACACTTGACGTATCTCACATGCACATAATTTAATTATTTTTTATTTTACTAATTTTCTTGTTAACTGCACCTGCACCAATGATTAAACGTACACGCTAATCCACACTTTCACGGAACATTTTTATTCATAAAAAAATAAAACTTATTGTCCATTCTAATGTCTACAAGAACTTAGAGAGAAACACAAAGAGGCAATGTTATTAAAAAATAATAAAAGTTTTTCAAATTTCAAATGTTTGTTTAACTTATACGACATGTGAAGTATATACGTAAGACAACTACTATGAACTCCAACTATATGTTTTCACGCGATACTTTATAACAACGTTATGCATTTAGTTTATTAAATTTGTGTTACGTTCATTGAAATGAGATAAACATTAATATATTTAAATTTTAAAATTTAGTACCT